AACAACGCCGGTATCCTTCGCGACAAGGCTTTCACCAACATGACCGATGACCTGTGGAACCCCGTCCTCAATGTCCATCTGCGTGGTACCTACAAGGTGACCAAGGCTGCTTGGCCCTATATGTTGAAGCAGAAGTATGGCCGCATCGTCAACACCGCCAGCACCAGCGGTATCTACGGAAACTTTGGACAGGCCAACTACGCCGCAGCGGTAAGGTGACTCCCTTAGCACCTCGGAAGAAGCATTGCTGACGCACAGTAGAAACTCGGCATCCTCGGTTTCTCCCGCACTCTGGCTCTGGAGGGCGCCAAGTACAACATCAAGGTCAATACTATTGCTCCTAACGCCGGTACCAACATGACCCGCACTATCATGCCCGAGGAGATGGTCCAGGCCTTCAAGCCCGACTATGTTGCTCCCCTGGTGGTTCTTCTCTCCTCTGACATTATGCCCGAGCCCAGCACCAAGGGTCTGTACGAATGCGGCAGTGGCTGGTTCACTCGCACTCGCTGGCAGCGCGCCGGTGGCCACGGCTTCCCCGTGGATGTCAAGCTTACCCCCGAGGAAGTGCGCAACCACTGGAAGCAGATCACCAACTTTGAGGACGGTCGCGCGGACCACCCCGAAGATGGCCAGGCCGGTGCTGAGAAGATCATGGCCAACATGTCCAACCGCAGCGGCAAGGACGCGGAAAGCGGCGGCAACAAGGTCCTGCAGGCGATCGAGAAGGCCAAGCAGGCCACGACGGATGGCACCCCCTTCGACTTCGTGGATCGCGACATCATTCTCTACAACCTGAGTGTGGGCGCCAAGCGCACCGACCTGCCTCTGGTGTACGAGAACAACGAACACTTCCAGGCGCTCCCCACCTACGGTGTGATCCCTTGGTTCAACACCGCCAACCCTTGGAACATGGACGATATTGTGGCCAACTTTTCGCCCATGATGCTGCTGCACGGCGAGCAGTACATGGAAGTCCGCAAGTTCCCCATCCCGACCGAGGCCAAGACCTTGACCTACCCCAAGCTCATTGACGTGGTGGACAAGGGCAACGCCGCCCTGGTTGTCTCGGGGTACACCACCAAGGATGCTAAGACCGGCGAGGACCTCTTCTACAACGAGTCGACTGTGTTCATTCGTGGCAGTGGCGGCTTCGGCGGGTCTCCCAAGCCCACTGCTCCTCGCCCCAAGGCTGCGACCGCCGCCTACAAGCCTCCTCAGCGCAAGCCGGATGCCATGGTCGAGGAGAAGACGTCCGAGGACCAGGCCGCTCTGTACCGTCTCAACGGTGACCGCAACCCCCTTCACATTGACCCCGAGTTCAGCAAGGTGGGTGGCTTCAAGACCCCTATCCTGCACGGGCTGTGCTCGCTTGGTGTCTCCGGCAAGCACGTGTTCAGCACGTTTGGTCCGTTCAAGAACCTCAAGGTTCGTTTCTCGGGAGTGGTGCTGCCGGGCCAGACCCTGAAGACGGAGATGTGGAAGGAGGGCAACACCGTTCTCTTCCAGACGACGGTGGTGGAGACCGGCAAGCCGGCCATCACGGGGGCTGGTGCCGAGCTGTTGGAGGGTGCCAAGGCCAAATTGTAAAGGTATCTATGAGTAAAACAAGCTTTCTCAGACTGTGTATATAAACGTTAATGAATGATTTGCACTTAATGGTGTACTGCAAGGTAGTCTTCCACTACTGGGTACTGGGTGTAAGCACAGGGTAGTTAATTATCCGGTGTTGTGGTGGGGAAGGCGGAAGGCCGCCTTTGATATCCGATGATTCTGCCCATTTGGTCATTTCATTGTCAGCTCACCCTCTCCTCTCACCCACTCCCAATCATCCCAGAATCCACACCACCATAAACACACCCCGGGCTGCTGCCTAGTGCTCTTCATTTCAGCCTCTTCCCACTATCATGTAGCATTCAGGCTTTCCCCTTGTTCGATGCGAAAATGGTGTCGTTCTTCGTTCCCAGCTTCAGACCCACCCCGACTTCCCCGCCGCTGCGTCCAAACGACAGCAACAGCAACACCGACAGCAACAGCAACACCGACAGCAACAGCAACAGCAACAATGCCTCCTCCTCCGCTATGATCAGCGAACGCGCCCTGCGCAACAACCCTTTCGGAATCACCTCCCGGACTCGCACAAGCGCCGCCTTGAAACCCGCCGCCGAGGATTGGAGACGCGAACAAGAAGAGCTCAACCAGGCCTTGCAATCCCTGGCCCGCATCTTCCCGGACATCCGCGTCGAAGTCTTCCGCGAACTCCTGGTCCGATTCGATGGAACCAGCCGCCTGCATGTCTGCGTCGAACAGCTTCTGAGACATAAAGAAGAATGGGTGGCGGGCCGATGGAACGTGCCGGGTGGGACAACGGGCAGCACCGCTGATGAGGGCGCAGCAGCAGCAGCAGCAGCCGATACTGTGTCGACTGCGACGGCCACTGCCAGCGGAGATGATCCCCTCGTCATCCCTCCTCACGAGCTCTTTCGATCCCCTCGATACAAGGCCGCTGTGAAGGCTACCCTAGCCAAGGAGTTCAGCGCGTTGAGCAAGAGTACGGTGGAGGCGGTGCTGGCGGAAGTGAACTTCTGCTACCTGCGCGCGCGTCCAACCCTCCAGGACCTCTCGCGCAAGACCTGGCGGGCGACGCTCAATAGCTTCCTGCCGTTGTTCAAACGCAGCCGCGATAAGAATGAGCATCCTCTGGTGGTGTGGCAGCGGCCAGCCGCGGCGGATGGGGAGGCCGTCCCGCGGCTGAAGGAGACGGGCTGCGAGGAGCTGGACCGGGAGTTACACGAGGCACTGCTGGCCCCTTTGCTCCGAGCCCGGAGAGAGGAGCAGGAACGCAAGGACCTGGCGCTGGCGGAGACGCTGAACGAGGACGAGGCCAAGGCGGCGGAGGCGCTGTACGAATGCGAGTGCTGCTTCGCGGATGTGACCTTCGAGCAGATCGCGACGTGCTCGGACAGCATGCATGTCATCTGCTACGGCTGCATCCGCCGCACCATCCACGAGGCGCTGTTCGGACAGGGGTGGAACAAGTCGGTCGACGTCGGCCGCGTGACCCTGAAATGCATTGCGCCTTTTGGTGGTGATGGTGGTGGTGGTGGTGGTGGTGGGCAAAATCATGACGGCTGCTGCCAGGGGTTGCTGAGCGCGGCGGTCGTGAAGCAGGCGATCCAGCTGGACCGCTCCGGCGCGGAGACCTACGCCAAATTCGAGGCGCGGGTGGCCTCCGACGCGCTGCGCAAGTCGCAGCTCAAGCTCATCCACTGCCCCTCGTGCGCCTACGCTGAGGTCGACCCGATCCACCACCCGTCGTCCGCGCTGGTCTGGCGCTTCCGCGGCGAGGGCCTCATCTCCAGCTTTATCATCGCGGTGTTCATCCTCGACCTGATCCCCCTCCTGCTCATCCCGCTCACGGTCATGTACCTGCTCAACCCGGCCGCGATCCGCGCGACCTTCCGCACCGCCCTGCTCAACACCACCCTCCGCACCCGCCCCAAACGCTTCACCTGCGCCAACCCTGCCTGCCAGCGCGTCAGCTGCATCGCCTGCCAGAAGCCCTGGCGCGACCCGCACGTCTGCCACGAACCGCTGCTGTTGGACCTGCGCGCCACCGTCGAGGCCGCCCGCACCGCGGCGGTCAAGCGCACCTGCCCGCGCTGCGGGCTGTCGTTCGTCAAATCCACCGGCTGCAACAAACTCACCTGCGTCTGCGGCTACTCGATGTGTTATCTGTGTCGCAAAGCGCTGACGTCGACATGGACTGGTGGGGCGGGTGGTGGACGTGATCGCAACCGCCGTCGCGCACCAGCGGCTCGTCGCCGCCACAACGCAGAGAACATCCCCTTGCACCAACGTCACCTTCGAGCTCAACCCCACAACCCTGACCCTGACTCCGAAGCCGAAGACGAAGTCGTCGCCGATGACGATGAAGAAGAGGAAGAAGAGCTAGAAGGCTACAAACACTTCTGCCAGCACTTCCGCATCAACCCGGGCGCCCGCTGCACCGAATGCACCAAGTGCGAGCTCTACCAGGACGAAGACGAGGAGGCCGTCGCCCGCCGCGCCGGCGAGAAGGCCGAGCGCGAATGGCACGCCCGCCACCGCGGCACGGCGACCGCCGCCGCCGCGGGCGCGCTGCATGTGAATCGGGATTTCTCGGTGCGGTCGTCAAAGGAGGGCCTAGGCAAGGGGCCGAAATGGTCGTGGACGTATCTGGTGGAGGAGGTGTGGAGGGAGGGCCGGTGGAAGGCCGAGGCCCAGGCGTTTGTGGATTGGGTGGTGGATTGCGTGGTTGTTGTGGAGGAGGCTTAGCTTTGGTTTCGGGGTTATGATGTGATGATTGATGACTGCACTGCTTTTTTGGGGTGGGGCTTGATGTTGGATATTTGTGCCCTTGGAGGGGTAAGGCTAGGGGGCGGTGCAGTTGTTTATAGCCTTGAGCCTTGAGCCTTGAGCTCTACGCTGTGTAATGAGATATTACACTGTGCTATCTTAGTAGGCAACAGGACCTGTGCTTGTTGCCCCTGCCCCCCCCGGGTAATTTCTTACTTGCCGTAGAGATCGGGAGAAGTTGGCTGGTCTACGATGATCTCTCTGCTTCTCTGGTCTGAGCGTGCCCTACCCCGTTCCCATACCCAGATGACTGCAAGCAATGAACTTACTACCTAGTAGGTAGAGTCTGGTATTGCTGTTGCTGCTGCTGCTCCTGCTGCTCAAAAGCACACCACAGACCCGCAGCTATGTATCCAGATTTGTCCTACAGGTTCCCTTGAAGATAGACTCATGCTATAGACACCGAACCTAGAAATCTAGAATAGCTGGTAGGTAAAAGAAAGGTACGATAATTGCGGACATAGACCCTGGAGCCGCATACCCGTATATCCTAATCCATAGCGCCGTCTGCAGGCCAGCACAGACAGCTCTTGAAAGCTTAGCATGACCCTAAAGCCTCCACTCACATCCCCGTTAGCCCCCCACCCTTCCTCCTTACAAGCTCAGCCCCCCCGCTCCTCTTGGGGTGAAGAACCCTCCACCTCCCGCTCAAGCGCCACCTGCGGAATCAGAGCCCACACCACCACCACCGCGACGGCCGCCATCCCCGCCCCGATTCGGAAGATGACCCGGAAGGCCTGCTGGTAGATCGGGAGGATGGCGGCACGGAGCTGGGCGGCGTCGGTGGCCGGGAGGTTGGCGAGGTAGGCTGTTGGGTTGCGGAGGAAGGTGGTCCTGTCCGATGGGGTGAGGGGGAAGGAGGTGGATGCTTGGGTGAGGAGGTTGGATCTTTTTTGTTTGGTTAGTTTTAGGATAGGATATAGGATGGAGGGATGGGGGAGGGCAAGGCAGGTAAGCGTACAGTATCGTCCCGGCGACCGCGAGGCCTAGGGTTCCTCCTAGGTTGCGCGTGAAGCTGTTTTTCAAAGATCCATGGTGTCAGAGTTGGTCTTGTGGATGCAGTGGCTGGGGAGGTATGTAACTTACTTCCTGAAGGATGTTGTTACGGCCATATCGCGTCGCGCGACACCCGCTTGGATTGCGATTAGGGCTCTTTGGGTTTGGGTTAGCGTTGCGCTCAAAACACATATCCAAGTAGAGGAGAGAAGGAGGGGTAGCTCACGGCTGCAGTGTGTTCCCTAGGCCCACACCGGTCAACAGCGCATATCCGATCTGCTTGCCTAACCCCGAGGACGACGCATCGAGGGTCGAGAACAGCCCTAGTCCAACTGCCCAGGCGACCCAGCCGAAGAGGATGGGCTCCCGGTACCGACCCAGCCAGTGCACCACCAGGCCGGAGAGCGTGCTGCTGACCGCTACTTTTCTTATTAGTGGATCCCTGTTCTGGATAGGGGTTGGGAGAAGAAAGGGGGAGGAAACGTAGAACGTACAGGCCATGATGGTGATCGGCAGCAGCATCGCCGCCGCCCGGAGGGCCGAGTACCCCATCGCCAGCTGGTAAAACACCGGGATGTAGTACAGTTGCACCAGGATATTCCACCCGTGCAGGAACATGGTGATGCACGCGCCGTTGACAATCCCGGACCGGAAGATGTGCATCGGCACCAGCGGGTACGCCGTGCCCTTCCACTGCCAGCCCACGAACGCGAGACACCCCACCCCGCCGCCGGCGATGGTCCCGACGACCGGCGCCGAGCGCCAGGGCCGCTCCCCGCCGCCCCAGGTCAGGCCCAGCAGTACCAGCGATGTACCGCCTAGTGCGAGCAGCGCGCCGAAGAAGTCGATGGCGCGGAGTTTGCGCTTCCAGTCCCCCGTGACTTTGCGCAGCGGGAGGAAGAAGACCACGCAGCACACCGTCAGCGCCGTGAGGGGCAGGTTGAGCCGGAAGATCCACCGCCACGAGGCGTGCGTCGCCAGCAGGCCCCCGATGATCGGGCCCAGGCCGTTGGACAGCGCGACCACAGCCCCCAAGATGCCTTGGTACTTTCCGCGGGTGCGGAGAGGCACGACGTCGCTGACGATCAGCTGCACGACCGTCACGAGCCCGCCGCCGCCGATGCCGGTGAAGGCCCGGAAGATGATCAGTTGGGTCGCCGTCTGCGCGAGGGAGGAGGCGAGCGAGCCGAGGAAGAAGATCGCGAGCCCGGCGTAGAGGACGTGCTTGCGGGACCAGACGTCGGAGAGGCGGCCGTAGAGGAGCTGGAAGCATGTTGATGTGCTGGGTTGGGCTTGGTTAAGTGGTGGTCATCGGGGGGACTCTGGGGGTACGCACACAAAGTAGCCACTCGAGATCCACGAGGTTTTGTCGCTGGCGTCAAGCGCTTCGCCTATGATCGAGAGACTGGCCGCTAATGTTGTCTGGTCCATGATTGCTATTAGGTCGACTGTTGAACATGCTAGGAAGATCTGAAGATGTCAATTGATCGGTTCTGCAAATGGGCGGTGTCTCATACTGTGATGATTTTCTTCCGGGGGACATAGTTCGTTTGCTCGTTGAAGGTGATTGGAGCTGATGCATCGGCTTCCACATCTTCGGAGGCTATGACTGCACTTTCTATGTTGGGGCTGCCCCCCTTGGAGTCCGAGTACAATGCTGTGTTGCTCATCTTGTGAAAGGCAGAAAGCCAAAAGCAAAGGCGAACTGCTTAACGCGAGCAGAGATGAGTTACAAGAGTCAATCAGTCGTGAATTATCAGTAGGGAAAAGAATCTCGAGCATTGATTCGGCCAAGCCCTATAATGAGGTCGAGTTACATTGACATGCGAGCCACGTCTGCAAGCAAGGGCCAGTCGTCCGGTTAGGGCTAGCAGGGATCGTCCAGAAACCTTCTCAAATGCCCTCACCAAGGTCCTCATTTCTGCATACTGTGCCGTGCTGGCCGTCATGTCCGTACCGAGAGTACGCGTTTGAGACACTCGTTACAGCTGCTCGATAGGCTCCATCCGGATAAGACTCTCATGCACTGCCCGAGTCTGCGAATATCGCAGATATCGATATGTCCATCAGTAGCCGGAATTAGCCAGTAGTTGTGGTCTGATCACACTCTAATGTGCGCAATCGACCAGAACGACCCAAAGCAGACATCAAACGTATACAGCAAGCCGTCCAGTGGGTCATGATCCTGCCACACGCCGGAAGCGACGGTCTGTCTAGATCGGGGGGCTCAAAGCAAGGAGGGGCACCGATATGCACAGCACGAGCATAAAGCATGCATCTGTCCCTCTGAGAAACAGACCGAATCACACTGCTGTCGTGCCATCATCCTGCAATATGGCCACCACCAACGAGCACAACGTCTACTTCGGGCCGGATGCCCTCAAGAAGTACTTCGACCCTGACTGCCAACCTCCGTTGCCGCTCGTAGAGCTGCCACAGCATCTGAACCCATTCCATCATGATGGGGTGCGCATCTATGCGAAGATGATGACGATGCACCCTGCAAACAATGTCAAAGCGTTGCCAGGTACACGCGCCCTTGCAGTGATGCATGTTGTTAGTCACTGACTTCTGCAGCTATGAATATGCTCGAATCAGGCGTGATACCTGGACAGACCCAGACGATAGTGGAGTATAGTTCCGGCTCGACAGTCATTTCCATGTCGATGACTGCGCGTGTGATGCATGGAATCGACGACACCCGAGCATATCTCAGCAACAAGACCAGCAACGCCAAACTCAAGCTGATGCAATTCTTCGGGCTTAACATCACCTTGTTTGGTGGCCCGTCACAGCCGGATCCTTACGATGAACGGGGCGGCATCCAAACCGCACGTGCGATAGCCATGCAGTCCCATAACACCCTTAACCCCAACCAGTATGAAAACCACGACAATTGGGGCGCGCACGTCCGCTGGACCGGACCCCAGATCTTCAAGCAACTCCCCGAGATCAACGTCCTGTGTGCTGGCATGGGCACCTCCGGAACCATGACGGGACTGGGAACCTTTTTCAAGCAGGCAAAGCCATCGGTGTTGCGGCTGGGGGTGTGCACCGCACCGGGAGACCGAGTTCCCGGGCCGCGATCGTTCGCTCTTATGAGGCCTGTGGAGTTTCCCTGGAAAGCCGCAGTCGACATGATCGAGGAGGTCACATCTGCAGACTCATTCTCTCTGTCGCTGGATCTGTGCCGCGAAGGGATTGTTTGTGGCCCATCGTCCGGGTTCAATCTGCAGGGCCTGTTTCAGATGCTCGAGAAGCGCAAACGCGGGGGGACCTTGACGCAGCTGGCGGGACCGGATGGTTCTGTTCACTGCGTCTTCTTATGCTGCGACTTGCCGTATCAGTACATTGGGGAGTATTTTGAGAAGCTGGGACCCGAGAGGTTCCATCCCATCCAGAACGAGGTGAGCAGACGAATCATCCTCGGAGAATAAAACTAGATGCTAACCGTGGTCCACAGAAACTCACGCGGGTGGATCTTCATCGGTACGACGAGAGCTGGGAACGAAGTCCTGTCGTGTTGTTCACGCACTTCTACGAGGCCCCAAAGTCGTTCCCCCAGGGCCTCCTGAGTAACATCACCATCCGACCGGCGTGCTGTATCCTGGACCTGAGAACAGCCGTCGATTTCGATTCATGGCACCTCCCCGGTTCGGTCAATGTTCCCTTACGTAGTCTCAGCCTCCATACAGCGAAGCCGTTCGCCAATCCGGATGTGCTGGAGGCGCTCTGGCTGGAGATGCAGACGTTGTTCAGTGATGACAGCAAGCTCGCGCAGCTGGTTTCCCACCATGTGCTCGTGATCTGTTACAATGGCGACACGGCCCGTATTGCCACTAGTGTGCTGCGGGCCAAGGGAGTCCAGGCGGATAGTCTCCGAGGAGGATATCAGGCGCTGAAAGATCACGGACTTTGGGAACAGGAGCAGGTGGATGGCAGCATGGTTGATGGATGTCCGAGTGTGTCTGTGTCGGTAAACAACCTGTCGCTTGCCAAAGCGTAGTAGGGTTGAATGAAGCTAGTCCTGATCGGGAAGGCATACTTAGAGCACTGCACTTGGCACTAGGCCGGATAGGGATGAGCAACTGATCCTCCCTTCTTCTCTCCTCATCAGTCTCTTCATGTCCATCATCATTTCACTGACGTTCATATCATAAAATCAACTACACGCTATAACCTCTGGCTTTGACCGCAATGTCCAGCCATCCAATGCTAATCGCGAGTCATCTGCTCAGATGCAGTCCCGCTGGACGGACTATGCCGCTAAACTATCCGCGCAAATCTGCTCACCAGGCGCACATCAAACGATACACGCCGGCAAATGTGGATATATGCAGACTTATTATAATCGTCCTGACATGATACGCTCTGCTCCGTATTGTCCCACCGTCGAAAACGAACCCGGCCGCCCTACGACAGCCCGACGGAGAAATGTCCGGATGGCTGCATGCGTCCGCATTCCACGCTAACCGGCGCTAACCGGCCAATCAGTGACCCCAGGATGGAATCCATAGTAGAGGAGGTCATGTCTGGAGTCGGAATGCAATGTCTTTGCCGTCTTCAAGATTCTGGTTTCGCGAACAATTGACCTGGGATGATTTTCGCTCGGGTGGTTTCCCTCTGCTTTTCATCTTTCTCCATGGACAGTGATGCAGCACGGCTTTCTGTTGAAAATCCTTTCTTTCCCTCTTGACGTTCTATAGTGCCGTCAGGCTTGTTCACTAACTGGTACTGTTCAATATGGGTCTACCATGGCTGGACCAGCCGGTGATGTTGCACTCTTCCAGAGCAGATAGCTGCATGTTGACCGCAGAGCAATGCGCCTACCGCAATGGACATTGGAGATACTGGTATGTCTTCGCGCTTTTCATTGTTTTGTTTACTCATGAGATTTCGACAGGTATCAAGCCGATCACGTCTATGCGCTGAACACGATATACTTCCTTTGCGCCACGGTTGGGGTGTTCATGATTATTCGGATGATGGCCAAGTTTAGTCCCCTGTTTTTGCGAAGGACGGCTGTCTGGAGGAGGGCAACGGCCACAGGGCGTTACCTTGCCTATAAAAGTCTTCCCTTACCAGTTGTCTGTTTTCCCGCCACCGGGGTCTTTATCTTGATTGCTGTCGGGGCTGTCTTCTTCCTCGGTTGGTACACAGTCGAGTACGCTGGAACGAACTCTTCTGACGCTCTCCAGCAATGACCCTCGGCCCACAGCCATATTACTGGCCAAATACAGAGACTGTTTCTTATGGAGGCAGTCCTCCAATTGCGACCCGAGCAGGATGGATGGCACTGGGCCTGCTGCCTTTCGTCTTGTCAGTATGCCATTTTCAGTGATCGAGCCTTATTGACCGACAACAGGGCCCTGGGAGCAAAAGCCAATCTGATATCAGCGTTGACTGGGGTCACCCATGAAAAACTGCAGGTTCGTTTCATCCCCGGTCGTGAATGTGCCACAGCTGATTTATCAGATATTCCACCACTGGACTAGCTATGCTATGTTCGTCCTTGCCTTAGTGCACACGTTCCCGTTCATTGTTGTTCACATTCAGAAAGGCGACATGACGAAGCAGTGGAAGACGGAGATAACATACTGGACGGGGGTGGCTGCTCTGATACCACAGGCATATTTGACGTTTATGTCTCTGCCAGCGATTCGGTGAGCTTTGAAGCTTCTACTGGTTGCATATAAATACAAACTGACCCTATAGGAACCGATTCTACGAGTTCTTCAAAGCCACGCATCTTCTGGCCGCATTCCTGTTTATCCTCTTCTTTTTCTTCCATTGCGACTTTCGTCTCTCCTCATGGTATGTACCCTACAGCTGTTGCGTATGCAGTCTAACGTTTAACAGGGACTATTTCATTGCATCTGTCGCGATTTACCTCCTGAGTCTTCTTATATCGTTCGCCAAAACCCACCTCATCCATGGCCGTCACCGCGCGACATTCGAGCTTCTCCCTTGCGGCTTCCTCCGTATCACTGTCCCAACTGTCACCGTTGTGTGGCGACCCGCGCAACACGTCTTCATCCGTTTTCTCAGCCCTCGACTGGGTCTGCACAATCTTACCGCACATCCTTTCACCATAAGCTCTACGTATCCGACGAAATTCGACTCAGCGATCAAGCCCACCTCCATGTTTAGTACATCGCTGGACTCGATCCCGTCCTCAGGCTCGACACAGGTACCGAGTAGGAGCATCTGCCCAAGCCTAACATTCTACATCCAGCCCCGCAGCGGCATTACAGCCCGCCTTGCACAGCTTGCCCAGCGCCACCCTGGCTTCTCCATCCCTGTTCTTCTGGAAGGGCCATACAGCGGAATATCCAGAAATCTCGACATCGCACGATTCAGCCATATCATCTTAGTGACCGGAGGGTCGGGGGGTGGTTTCTCTTTCGGGATTCTGGAAGAGTTCCTGCAGGGGGTGAAATCTTCCAGAAACTCGTCCACCGATGCAATTACCGATGCAGCGGGAAACAACTCTTCTAGTGCTCTCTCTAGGATCAGCATCATCTTCGCAACTCGGTTTCCAGCAGTAGCAGACTGGTACACCAGTGAGCTCAATCGGATCCTGCTGCTGGAACAGTGTCCCAGCTCCTGCAGGATAGACGTGCACATCGACATCCATATCACTTCTCACTCCACTCCCCCTTTTACCCCATCACCCCCTCAGCCTTCACGGGATGAAGAAGAGAGATACATCAAAACCCCTGAAGTAACGAACAATACCACTATCACCCCCTCCGAGAAAATCAAAGAAGAGACCCAGCCATCGAGCCCAACCAACAACCTTCCGATTACATACCATCAAGCGCGTCGACCAGACCTGTCCAAGCTCCTCACTGCCACAGTTCCTGTCACCAGGAGAGGAGGTGCAGAGCAGAAGATCGGCATCTTCACATGTGGGCCTGGGTCCATGATCAATGACGTTCGTAGTGCGGCGGCCGACGCGCAGTTGCGTGTTGGTAGTGGTAAGATGGCTGGCGTGGAAGAGGTGTATTTGCATACGGAGATGTTTTCGTAAGTTTCCATCCGCTTCTTTGTGACAGACGTTGTTGCTGACTGCGATGTCGCCTTGAAGATGGTGATAGATGATGGTACATATGGTGGTGCCGAGTACATATTGCAAATACGTTGTGTAGACCAGTATGTTGTCTGGGGGTAGAAGATGGGCATGAATAGCGATAAAGTATAGTACATAGATCTCTGCATATGATTCCTGAACAGGGTTTGTGCAGAAATGAACGACTATTCCCACTTTAGCATAGCATAGCGCTCACCTCATCACAAGTATTGCCTAAACCAACCACGACTTTCATTATCCTCTCTCCTTCTGCCCTTCTCCTTAGCCCCTTGGCAACCTCTCCCCCAGCCAACACACACCAACTAACAGTGCGTTATTCAACATGGAAGACCCATTCAGCCAGTACATCCAAATAACAGAGCAAGATCGACGGCATCGAGCCCCCCCTCCCCCCTCCCCCTTACCAACTAGCCCCAAAAAGCAAACGCTAACAGCCTCGGCAGCCTCAACACCCCGATCATCACCATCTCGCTCCGCGCCGCAGACCCCCAATATGTCCTTGACCCCACTACTCTGGGCTTTCGCATACACGCTCACTGGACCTCATACCAAGAGAGCAGCGGCGAAGGGCAAGACCAAACCTGTATCCTAGACTGGACCGGCGTGGAGGCGGGGTTCCTCTTATTCCGGCTCCTGCCAAGGGGGAATTATGAGCCAGTGACTTTCGAGCAGAATGACTCGAACACCAAGTCCCCGCATCGTCTTTTGAGCTTCGCACAGCTCGATATCCCGGATCGATGGGTGCTTGCACCCGGGACCACCACCGCCCCGATGCATCCGCGCATTGAACGGCACGCGTACCATGGCCTACAACCGGACGAGCGGTACGAGATCCTATGGCCCGGCGCTGAGATCCCTCGCTGGGAACTGGGGGATGCGAGAGAAGCAACAGCCCCGGAGCGCAAGTGCAAGCGCAAGTCCAAGTCAAAGGTAGCCCCCCTCGTGATTCCCGGCGGGGCTCGATGCTCGTTCATGCTGAAGGGAGAGAGGGAGCCGGCGCCGATGCCGCGGGCATGGAGCCCGCCACCGCTGGAGCAGACGGATCGAGTGTGAGTCCTCGCCTAGTGCCTCCCGTCCTTTCCTGTGCAATATCCTTTTCTTCCCCGAAAATAACTGAAACGGGGAACCGGACCGGCAAGCCCTCAGCCACTAACTAACCCCCGGTTGCCAGTCCCGGCGCCCCAGTGCTCACCGTTGAGCTGAAGGCTACGACCTCGCACTGGAACTCAAGGAAACGCCTCCCCATAACATGGACGATAACGTATCACGGCACCGCCGGGAGAGAAGATGCTCCCCCCACCAACCCTCGACCCATCACCTTCCGCACCTACGATTTCTGTACTTACGGAGCCTTCCGCGCGTATCGCCAGCGATACAAGGATGGAGAATGGGAGTCCTACGACGAAGGCGGGAGCTGTCAGTTCCCCAGTGGTCCCGACGATCCCTATCAAGTGATCGTGGGCAAGGAGAGAGAAAAGGCCGGCTTCATCAGCCTGCAGCCGGGGCAGACGTACTCGAGGTCGGTGCATCTCTACTCGCAAGACGATCTGCCGCCGTATCCTTCTACCGGGGAGATCCTGCGCTCTCGGTTCGTTGGCTGTGTGCTGGACTGGTGGGATTGGGGCACGCTGGAGGAGCATGGTGATACGGTGGTCACCGTGCCGGGGTTTCTGGGCGGGGAGGTCCTTGAGCCCAGGGATAATGGGGGGCGAGCCAGGGTGGTTGTGCCTGCTTCGAATCTGGTCGAGTTTACGGTTCTTTGAGGTGGCTTACATAGTCGCCGGTGTGAAAGGCAGTCCTGGTGGCCCGTCCTACTGCAGAAAATGCTGCGGTAGAAGCAGAGAATGCTGAGTTTGGGTGAGACCTAACGCGATGACAGTTGCTTTGTCAGCAAAATACTGAATCTGGGGCACATTTAGTATCCGGATCTGTGCCAAACGGCGTGGGATTCAACCTGCAGTAGTCGGATCTGTTGATCAAAGGGCGAGAAGAGATGACCCTCTGGGCGTGGACCAGCAGGCTGGGGAAGATGGCCCCCTCAGGATCCTGTTGTTGCGCCCCAGAGTAGAAGTGCTGCAAGCGTATACTCCAGAAGCTGCACGGAGTAGATTAGAGTTCTTCTTCGATTTCAAAATCTTAGACACGCAACACTCACCAGTGCGGGCAAAGCCCATCAATCGTCACGTCAGTCCAAAGCACGGATTTCGACCTCTTTCTCGCATAGAAGCGAAGTATGACTGTCAGAGTGCCCAACACGGAGAAGAGGATGGAGATGGTGATTCTCGCGGCAGGTGTTGCGTATGTTCGTGACATGATGATAACAGCACCCCTCGAATGTCATCAGTGGTATAGAAATTCATTATGAGATGACGGGTGGAACAAGGCTATCTTAAAATAAGAGATTGGCTCGGATATAGACAACTCGTGCTAAAGCTACCGGTAATTAACAGAGGTAAGGACGATCTGGGGTGATCCTGGCCGGTTTGATAGCGAGGGAGGCTATGTTTGTCTGTCTCCAGCCTAGTCGATCACCAACGGTTGCCTTTTCTTTTGCTTGATAAGCCTCACCGCTGCAACCTAATGCCAAAAGTACTCCTCCTCGCCCTCCTTATTTCTTTTTCTTGTTCTTCTCCTTTTCCTTCTCCTTCTTCTTCGTCTTCGTCTTCTTCCCTTCATTAAGTGCTCAATCTGCTAAGGATCATGACGTTGCTCTGGATTCTCGAAACCACTGCTGTTGTGTTGTTGCTATGGACAGCAGTTGAAGCCATCCGTCGCCTCTACTTCCACCCCATCGCCCATATTCCAGGTCCCGCCTCGCAGCTCTGACATGGTGGTACGAGTTCTACTACGACGCCATCCAGCCCGGACAATACGTCTTCAAAATCCAAGAGCTTCACAAGAGATACGGTACGTCAGAATCCGCACCATGCTCAATTCAAGCACCGACGCTCTTCAGGTCCCATCATCCGAGTCACTCCCGACGGGATCCATATCAACGACGTCGGCTTTTTGGACACTGTCTACGCGCCTGCAATGGTCCGAAGGGACAAGTACGACTATCAGCTGCGGAGTCTTCGCATCCCCGGTGGAGTGGGCACCACCGCCGGCTATCACCTGCACAGACTGCGACGGGAATCCCTCACCCATTTCTTCAGCAAGAAGAACATTTTGTATCTGGAAGGGTTGATCACGGACAAGGTCGAGCAACTGAAGCAACTGATCGCGACCCATGTAGCCGATAACACGCCGGTGAACTTGTCAGATGCATTTTTTGCCTTTTCCAACGAGTCAGTCGGCTGTCACCGTTCACTTGGCAGGCATCTAGCTAGACTAAACCACCCACAGCGTCGTCACGAATTTTCTCTTCGCGCACCAGACCGACATACTGTCCAACGAATCCAAAGCAGTCATCCTCCGCCAGAACAGCAAAGAGCTCCTAATGGGCATCAACCTCAACAAGCACTTCCCGTGGATCCCCGATTTCCTCGAATCGCTCCTGCTGTCCATCAGCCGGCCGATGATGCCCCCAGGCCTCGTGGATATGCTTGCCCTCTTCGACGCAAGCTTCACTCCCCCATCCCAACTCCACAACCATCATCACTAAGAATCCAAAAGCGAGTCCGCAACGAACTCCTCGCCCTCACGCACACCAGACCATCAGCAACAGCAACCACCGCCGCTAAACCCTTGGGCCCAACAGGCAAAGAATCCGTCTTCGACTCCGTCCTCGACGCCCCTAACCTCCCCGACGCAGAGAAGACGCTCCCCCGCCTCGAACAAGAGGGCACCCTGCTCGCGCTGGCGGGGACCGAATCGCCCGCGCAGACCCTCACCGTCGCCTTCTACCACCTCCTCGCCAACCCGGCGCTCCTCGCGAAACTGCGCCAGGAGCTCCGCACGGTCCCCGCCCCAGCCTCGTGAACCCAGCTCGAACAACTCCCCTACCTCTCCGCGGTCATCGAAGAAAGCAACCGCCTCTCCTTCGGCTTCACGGCCCGAACCGCCCGCATCGCCTACGAGCCGTTAACTTACACGCCTTCCGCGCATGCTGCCCCATCACCGTGCAGCCCTCCCGGTGCGCAACGTAAATCCTATGTTTTCCCCCCGGGCACACCGATCCGCACCACGACGTTGAGCGCGCAAACGGCGGAGACCGTGTTTCCGGAGCCGTGGGTCTTCGATCCGGATCGGTGGCTCGGGGACGTCGGGAGGGAGCGGCGCAGGTTCCAGATGGCGTTCGGGAAGGGAGGGCGGAGGTGTTTGGGGATCGAGCTCGCGCGCGCGGAGCTGTTTCTGGTGATTGCGGGGTTGGTGCGCGCGTTTGACATGACGCTGTTTGAGACGGGGGAGGAGGATGTGGCGTTTCGGTGTGATTATCAGGTTGCTATGCCGGGGAGAGGATCGAGGGGGGTGAGAGTGAGGGCGAGGGCGAGGGTGGGGGTTGGGAGTAGCTAAATTATCGGGCTTGGTCCTGTGAAGTATTGTAGCCCTAAACGGGCATCATGGAATCCTAGTGTTGAGTTTGGGAGAAAGACATCCATATACTACGCCCCAGTCCAAGTCTTGTACGTATTTTTGATCTAGAAATGCTAAACTTTCCCTTGATTCGAGATCAATATCAACATAACACCCTGTATAGCCAACCGTAACCTACATTCTCAAACTACAGTCCATAGGTCCATATAACCGACACCACGCACCAGGCGACCCATATCGAAACATGCAGACCAACCCATCATCAACAACCTTTAATCCAAACAGACCTGCAGTACAATTCAGCCACAGTATAGCCAACCAAAGCATAAAAACGAAGACCCATCTGCTCCTTATCTAGACACCCCAATCCAAACTCCCCAATCCAACCAGGGCTTAACGTGAAGTCGACGTATAGTAGCCACCCCAAGCCCCAAGCTCACCCAGCAAGCTCGCCCGAGCAAGCCACAGCAACCAGAGCAGCAGCAGCAGCAGCAGCAGCAGCCAGTGCATACCCTACTGCACCCAAGGCTATTGTACTGTACTATACAACGCAAGTAAATCCTTCCAACAGCAGCAGCTCATAAACGACCGACCACCACGACACAGACATACACACATACACACACACATTCCAGCCATAATAATCAGCCATATCCCCTCCTCCCTATCTTCACCATCTTCATCGGACGGTAGCATGCCCCCCCTGCCTTGTAAGTCCCGCACACAGCACACAGTTACTTATACAAATACCACACACCCCAACTCAGCCCTTGCACCAACGAACCCCAACCAACCAACCCTTCCTTCCCCACCACCCAAACATCCTCCCCAACGAATCCACGCCCATGAACCTGAGTACAATCAACCAGGACGACCACGACCATAAGCTTGAAACAGGAATCTCTATATACAGCGCAGTACATATACCCGAAAAACCAAGTGGATTCTCTAGCCAGCCCGCAGCAGATCCGATCCGCTTTATTCTGCTTCCCTTTTTCAGACACACACACAGAAATAGAAAAAAGCAAAGGAACAGTATTACAGCTCTAGTCTATTCAGCTCTAGTCTATTCTCAATGACAATATGATAGGATAGCATAGCATAGTAGAGGAGAGACATAACCTCAAAGCAAATGTGCATGTGCATGTGCATGTGCAAGAAGAATGCTGGAGATCGCCAAAGGTCAAAATTCTGGGTAGTGGGTAGTGGGTAGTGGGTACATGGTCTGGATCTGAATTTGCATCTGGATCCTGGATTGAGAGCTGAAGGAGGTGTTCATTCGATTAGGGGTGTATGGGATTAGTGAGTTGGAATGGAGTGGAGTGGAGTGGAGTGGAGTGGAGTGGGTATGTTTGTTTGTCTGTTTGTTTGTCTGTTTGGAGGTATGTATGTATGTATGTGCTTGTGTGTGTGCTTGTGTGTGTGTAGTGTAGTGTAGTGTAATCTGTGGTAACGTAAGTAGTGTAAGCAGTGTAAGTAGCGGCATCAACCGCCGCATAAGTAGTCTATCGCCGAGCAAAATCATATTCCAAGCCCAAGTCCAAGTCCAAGTCCAGTCGCAAGGACCATATTCCCTCCCCGGAATCGAAAATCTCATAAAATGCATAACGCGGGGAGGATCTCCCCCCCAATCCATCTAACCTCCCCGCTGAATCTAGCCCTCAACCAGGCAGGCAGAGCGACATTCTTCCCATATTCTCAAGGGCAAACTAGGACCTCCCCTCCAGCCCCCCCATCAACCAAGCCCTCATCCGCACATTCACAACCCCGCCAACTCCATAAGCCGGCACGATCTTGCCCATCCGCGCAAAACAGCTCGGCACATAATCCCTACGGATCCGCGCCACGCGCTCCCGCCACCCCAGCCCACCGGGCGGCTGCCGATTGTACAGATCCAAGCCCAGCAGATGCATGGGCGTACTGGCGAACTGCATGAGCGCGGGGCAGCTGAACTGCGCCAGCGCCGCCTTCATGCCGGGGGTGGCGGCGACGCGGTCGGGGATGTGCGGCGCCAGCAGGGCGGGGATGTTGAACGAGGCGAAGATGGTGATGCTGTCGCGCAGGCAGAAGAGGGCGTAGGAGATGCGCGGGACGGTGGGGGCGCCGGGGCCGGTGGCCGGGTGGCACGAGGCAGCGGTGGTGGTGTGTTGGGGGCGGGGGATTGTGATTGTTGGGGAGAAATTGGCGTTCGGCTTGGGGGGTGTGGTGACGGTAGTGCTGGGGGCATTACTGCCGGGAGGTGACGCCCCGAAGATCCTCGCGAATCGGGCATCCTTGTATACGCAGATGCCCATGTTGACGACCGTCGTCGACAAGAATTTGGCCGTGCCGGGGAAGACCGTCGAGAAGGGCTTGTCGCGCATCGTCGACATCACCGTGTCGATCGTGTTGGCCGTCAGGTAGGTCGCGGTGTATAGCGTGTAGATCAGCAGGAACGGCGTGCTGAGGAAGAAGGCCCCCGGGTGGGCGGCCATGGAGCGGAAGCATGAGGTGATCGTCTGTTGGATCGGAAGGCCCTTGGCTGCTTTCTCGATGATCGCGCTGGAGATTGTGACGAACAGGTCAGTGGAATCATCCCGAGTAAGGTTGTTGAGCGGTGGTGGCCTACCGATCAATCACGGTGATGACCGGGCAGGTGAGCGCACCCGCCGTCGCCGCGCTGGCGATATCCACCCCCAGGCGCGTCCCCAGACGGTCGGTGTTCCACCTCGTCGTGGAGACGGGCGATCGCTCGCTGATGGCCGACATACTCGTAGGGAGAGACGAAGGCGCTTCGGGGGCAAGTGCACTCCGCGTCATTTTTCTAACAGAGGGAAAAAAGAGAGAGAGGGCTGATTGCTAATATAACGTCATCCGGACGGTGGCTGGAGAAGACAATTGCCGCAGATTCCAAAATTGAAGAACGATGCAGAGAATAAAAGGCCTCACTCAAAATACAGACTACTAAAACATTGTGCTGGTCACCAGCGCACCCAGAATGTCACTTCTGCAAAAGCAAACGAACGTCAGCCAGTCAGTCAGTCAGTCAGTCAGCCGCAAAGAAAAAAGAAGTCGGGGGTGAGTGGGTTGACATGCACCAACGGACGAGAATCGCCCGGCCGGCATAATTTGGATGCGCCTCGGGAATTGTCCTCCGATGCCGGCCGATGCAATCGTTGTGCTCGTATTAATCAATCAATCAATCAATCAATCAATCAATGGGTATTCGAAATCCCGACCATTTTCAATCCAACCCTTGCGCGGTCGGTCTACTTCCCGGGTAAATATCCAAGGAACACACACTTTCATCACGATGCTGGATCTATCATTTCTTTTTTTTCTTCTTCTGGGTCTTCATACATACTGTGTACAAATCAATTAACATGCTCCAAACGCCCAACACAAATTAAACTAAGATTGTCTCCCAAATCATAAAACCCCTCGCTCCCTGGGCTTTCCGTCCTTCATGGCCCAACGCACCGTGTTCCCAGTGTCATTATGCATATGTCGCTCATTCAGACGTGTTCGCCTGAATCCCTTCCAAGGTGACGTTGACCGCGCCAGCTTGCACCAGCTACAACATGTTTGTTAGCAAAGCATACTCCCAACTACAACAAATCGAGGCCAGAACTTACGGCGCGCTGCAGGTCATCGATCAGATCGTCGACATCCTCGATACCCACACACAACCGGATGAGATCCTCCGGCATCGCTCGTTCCTTGCGCGTCTTGGCGTCGATGCTGGCATGGCTCATGCGGCAGGGCATACTAATCAGGCTGTTCACGCAGCCGAAACTCACGCTGATCGCCCACAGCTTGGCGCTTTCCACAATCCGCTCGCTGACACCCACATCACCCGTCTCAAACGAGAGAACCGCGCCCGAGCCGCGGGCCATCGAGTGGTGGAGTTCATACTGAGGGTGCGACCGCAGCCCCGGGTAGCGCACCTTGAAGCCATGGGTCTCGAGGTACTCCGCAATCCGCTGCGCGTTCGCCTGCTGCTGGTCCATGCGCACCTTCAGGGTCTTGACACCGCGCAGAAGCAGCCACGAGTCGAAGGGCGACAGACCGCAGCCGGACGCGTTGATGGGGAAATAGAGACGCTCGCCCAGCGCCAGGTCGTTCACTGCGATCACACCAGCCATGAGGTCGTGGTGACCCGACAGATACTTCGTACCACTCTCGTAGACAATGTCCGCCCCCAGATCAAGCGGGTTGAGGAGAAGGGGCGACATCATGGTGTTGTCGACCGAGACGAGACAGTTGGGGTTCGCCTCGTGGGCGGCCGCGGCGATCTGGGGGATGTCGACGATCTTGATCAGGGGGTTGGTCGGGGTCTCGAGCAAAACCATGGCCGTCTTCGAGGTCAAGACCTCGCGCACCTTCTCGGGGTGGGTGGTATCCACATGGTGCACAATGATTCCGCCGTTGGTAGAAAGATACTTCAGAAGGCGGTTGGTTCCTCCGTAAAGATCATCACCGGTCACAACTTCATCGCCAGGACGAAGCAAGCGGGTGATCACATCCAGAGCGGCCATGCCGGACGACACAACCAGAGCGCGCTGAGCCGACATGATCTTAGCCAAGTGACGCTCGAGGTGAGTTCGGGTGGGATTTCCGGAGCGGGTGTAATCATATTCGCCGCCGCCGCCGCCGGAGGTTTGTTTGAAAGTGGCACTCTATCCGACTAGAATTAGCTATCGCTTATACTTCAATTGCCTACCCTCGACGTCACACCGGGGGGGTATTGCAGGACTGGACGGGCTGGTCGGTACCTGATAGATCGGGACGCTGCTGGCATTATACTGATCATTGCTGTCCGTGTAGACCAGCTCGGTGGCGATATTGTAGCGTCTGACACCATGAGGGCTAGATGGAGCAGGAGAAGGAGGCAGATTGTGGCCCTCGAGGTCAACGCGAGGGAACGCCTTCTTAGAAGCGCTGGAATCAGCACCGGATCCTGAGGCCGACATCGCTGCGGGGACGGAAGGATTCGCGGGAGCAGAACCGACAGGGGGAAGGGGGAAAAACTGAGGAATGAAACAAGTAGACGGCACCAGGTAATGGATTCAATCAACAAATGAAAGTTGGTAGCAATGGGCAAGAACAATCAAAGCTTGCCAAAAATATAAGATGAGTGAGTGTTTTGGAAAGTCGAGAAGATGAAGGAGAGGAAGAATGGACGGGAACAAATTATGGGCTTCCCCAGAAGAGTCACAGCCACTAACTAGTCGGTCGGTTGGCCGTCTTCTAGACGGGAGTCGGTATGGAGAGACCCAGATTGACTCCAGCTGTCATTGGCTGAGCCGCCATCATCGCGATGTCGTCATTCACTAGGCCCATTCCAGTAAAGTCCCATCACATGAAGTCGAATGACTCAGCTCTTCCCAGAGTTCAATGTATGCAAGAATGTAAATCGCACCAGGCTCTCAATTCCTTCGATTCCTTCGTTATGTGTGAGGTAGGTGTGTATATATACAGGAGTATCAGCACGTCCCATGTCCCATGTCCCATGTCCCAGGCTCTCCCCTCGTACTCCTTTATTTCCTGCTTGTAAAAACGTTGATCCCTCACCGAAACTGACTCCAACATCACGTCCACCATACCCATGCAGAAAACGGGACTGAATTCCAGCAAAGCTAAACACGCAAGGACAATCATCACCCACAAGCTACTTCCCGTCCGTTGAGACGCACGCATGTCTGATTGGCACGGGGTAAGCTATACATTATGAATCCTTCTCAAGTCGCCATCTCGCCAAAACTACCATTGATGCCGAAGAATTGGAACCTAAAGACCATCATTAGTCAGACACATTAAGAGACACATCTTGAGGATGTAGCTGCATGAAAGGAAGAGCTTACCAATCCTCTACATTGAGCGTGGTTGGCGCGGTTGGGCCACTGCGAGAGCTCGTACTCCAGTTGTCGTCCTGACTGCCGGCATCCATGGGACGCAAAGTCGCCTCGAGGTTTTGCATGGGCCACGCCTGCTGATTTTCCAGGCCATACATCGGTTGCGCATGCTGGCCCTGCAGCGCAATGCCTGGAGGCAGATTCGATAGAAGCTCCGGGCTCCCGTGAGAGGCCGAGATACTGCTTCGTCCTGGCAGGTGCTGTGGCATCATACCGGGTTGGTGTACTTGAGAGGGCACCTGCAGTTGTGGGTCAACTGTAGCAGGTTGTGGAGATGTCAGCTCTGGGAAGAATGCCGTCCCGTCAGGGAACAGCTGATCGGGCTGGAAGTTCTCCCACAGAGACGGTGAAAGATTAGGTGTTGTTCGCGTGACGAGGAAAAGGTCGGGTGGGGTGGCAGGCAAAGAGAACTGATTGAAAGGTGTTGTTGGACGTGTAGTCGCCCGCGAGTTGCCGGGCCCTCCATGTCCCGGAGGCGAACCCTGCGGCACGTTCAGACCGGGCGGCAGATCCCTAGACGGTGTGACCGCTGGGGTTTGGGGTCGAGATCGCTCGTAAGACACCGGGGGTGTCGGTCCACCATTAGGCAAGCCGAGATCCATGTCATCAAACTTGCGCTTTGGTGGATCAGGTCTTCTGACGTGCGGCTGCTGCACTGTCTCGGGCCGCACACGCTGATGTCTTTTACCTGCAGCTTTCTGCAGGCGTTCCTCGAGGACCTTGTTTCCAAGAATGGATTCGAACAACGTGTGTACCATTTTGGCCACAAGCCAGACCTTGGACACGTCTTTGAGAGCTTGGGTGCAGATGTTGATCCTCTCCTGGCAGGTCGCCACAATCGAGGGCACAGATGAACGCATCTGGTAGACATGCATGATAAGAGCTGAAAACAAACTATAGACACTGTTTGAGTGTTAGTAGCAGATCGGCAACGGCTGGCAACTGAATCTGACTCACATGAAGGCGGGTGTATAACGAATCTCATGATGAGCCTGCAAATTCTCAACGATGGATGTGATCATCCCTGCGGCCTGGAAAGCGATAGTGCGCGACGGATAGGTCATCTCTTCCACGCGGTAACTGCTGGGGGCCGAAGAGGCAGGCGGCATATGCGCTCTATGCAGCAGGCACAGAGTCGTACTTTTGACAGGGTTAGCCGTAGTAAAATTCAGACGCTCTGCTTAGAGACTCACTAGTAGTTCGCATGCAGCAGGGCCGCCCAGAAATGATGTTGCTGCCGTTGCCAACATACTTCTTTGGGACAGTTCTGTAACCAATCTGCCAGGGCCATGTCTGAGTGCGTCAAGTCCATTGCATTCATTCGCCTCGATTTTGAAGCCACGGAATACTGCTGGGAAAGAACCAAGCCCATGATCTCGCATAGTTTGACGTATTGAAGGAAGAATTGCACATGTACCGGATCAGGCGGATACTCCGCGGCGATGTCGACCTCGTCTTCGATAAAGTCGTCTTCGGTCAGCATCCCGACGTCCGAGTCGTCTGTGTTGATACCAATGGGGCGACCCAGTGCAACCGCCACCGACCGATCCCGAGTGAAAAGGGTCCACCAGATTCGCTTCCACAGCCTCTTGTCGGGCTTGCTAAGCTGAGACGATTCCACACTGTACGTAAATGAGCATACTCAGTTTCCTACCGACGACGATAAAGTCAACATACCTTCGATGCATGCCCGAGCCCTGCGCCACGACCATCGCCACACGTGTCCAATAGAAAACGTTTTTCGTCACGTCTGAGCGTGTTAGTAGGCTTGCAAATAGAGCGAAGGTAAGGTCAACGTACCCTCCGGTCCCTCCCAGTACCAGCCCAATAGGACTAAGGCTTGGACAATCGTCACGCGATCGTCTTCATAATTGGCATCGTACAAAGCCTTTGCGCGCTTGTAGA